CCCCAACCCGCCGCTCGAAGCTTTTCCGGTCGGCAATGGCGCCGTCGTGGAGTAACTGCCCGTCTTTTCTCTGGGTACGGTCGAAGCATCCCACCTTCACGGCGTTGACGCCATTGTTATTTCTCAGAGAGCTATCCAACGACCTCCTAGATGACGATGTCCGATGATTACCCGACTCGTTGACCCGACTCGCTTGCTCACCCGCCGATGAATGCCGACCCGAGATCCGCCGAACCCAGAAAGCCGTGTCTAACCGACCCGGTTGCGGTCGCTCCGACCCGGTATCAGTACTGTTCATAGAGATATGGTCGTCTTCTTCGCGGTGAGATAACCGGATCTCGAACCAGGGATTGCAGTCGCCGATCAAGAGGATATCTTCCGGGTCGACCCGGTAGCGGCAAAGCGGGCAAGTGGAGTGAGCGTCGAGCCACGTGTCGACACACTCCACGTGGAAGGCATGCTGACATTTGGGCAGGAGTCTGAGGACTTCGGTGGGCTCGAACCGAGCAAGACAGACGGCGCACTCCAGCCCTTCCTTGTCTCCGGTCAGAGCTCCGAACCGGAAAACCGGTAAAGACTCGATGACGGTTCGTTCTATACCGGAGTTCTTCCTCCCGTCGAACCGGCGGTGGTTATGTTGGACGTAAACGGCGCCGTTACGGTGTTTGCAGTGTTTGACATAGAGAAGCAGCAAGAACGTGACGGAGAAAACGGTGGTGAGCAATCCAACGAGGACGGCGATGCTGGGTTTCAACGGAGAGAAGCTCGGTCGCGGCGGAGGCGGCGGAGGAGGAGTGACGACGACCATCGTGGAGTTTGCGGCGTTTCGGACAGCGAAAGAGACATTGGAGAGGAGAGAGAGAAGCAAGAAGAGAACAAAGGATGGATGAGAAACGGCCATGGCGAAGGGTTGTGGTTGGAGAAGAAGGATATTTAAAGATCGAAGCTTTTCTGCAAGTGCCTGAAAACAAGGGGACTCACTTTATATTGGGTTTTAGAGAGAGAAGGGGTTATAAAGGGGAACGAAACAAAGTGAATAAGGACAAAAGAGGATTGCATTAAAAACATGACTTGTTCCATCTCCACGCCTTAATTGAAACTAGAGCTTTGGAACCAAACACAGTGATGGATCTTTCTGCTGCTCTCTTTTCGTAACTAATTTCCCCTATTTGTCTCTTGGACTTGAATCTTCCAAAGATTTATGTGAATTCACATGCATCCGGTCCAAATCCCATTTTTACTGAAAATCAAAATATAATAGACATAAAATTAAATAAATATAATATTCATAATTATTTTATTGAAAATAAATAACACTAAACGTAGCAGAATCTACCCTAACCGTAATAATAATAAAGTTGACTGGATTTGAATGTGTGAGAGAATTTCTTTTACGTGTGTGCATGGCCTCGTGGATTCACATGAGATAGGTTTTCATTCTTTATTGCCCAAGGAATTAAAGGCCTTTTATGGGAATCCAACTGTCTACTATCATATGATATATAATTTGCTTTCTTTTTTTCCCAATATGACATATGTTTTTGTTAGGTGTAGAATTAATGATTGAAGATTTTTTTTTATTAAAATTTCATACATTATATATTGTACGGAAATTTTTCAAAATTTATTCTCAGAACCTAATATTATACGTTTGTATTGGCCAAAATATGATAACATACTTTAGTGTTTTTAATGATCATTTTTATATTGTTAGAGATAAAAAGATAAAAGAACAAAAAAAAAACAAATAAATGAAATGAAACAATAACCGAGTAGAAGGGGTCTTGTCTTGAACCCTTGTTCCCCAATGACGCGTTGGTGAAAGTTTTACTTGGTTACAATAATCAAGTAATTTTGTAATTTGAATTTAGAAAATTACACGAATATATACTATCATATAAAACTATTTGGACAAGTATAACGCTCTTTGGCTATATTTTCCAAAAGTATCCACATGGACATACATACATACATACATACATACATACATACATACATACATAGTTTCTTTTCCTACATTGCCCAAACGCCAACGATAAATGGATTAAAATAAGAGATAATATTGTGAACCATGTGTATATATGTATACATGTAACATAAAGATAAAGATAGTTTCTTTCCCGAGATTCACCAATTGTCAATATGTGGATTAAAATAAGAGCTCATTATATGGTAAGTGCCCTCTAGTGTCTTGTAAACAATTCATCATGACGTATATTATTATTATCATTATTATTAAATTAAACCCCGTGTAGATTCTGTAAACAGAAATGTTGCTTTTTCTCTTGATTCGCGTGATACTGTTGGGATAGAGGGACATATAAATATCGATAACCACATTAATAAAAAAACATTAATCCGTTCATTGTTGGACCAAAAGGAAATGGACAATTAACCCTAACACAATCACATGCGTTTCGCGGTTTAAGGTTTTTTTTTTGTTTTGTCCCCCTTGGACTATTTTACCCTCCGCCTTTCGAGTTATCACACATACGTCTTTCATGAGCAAATTAAATTATACAATGATCTATTTCACTTATGATATTTTTATATAATATTACAGATATACTTATAATACGAACTTAAATATATATTATAGAGTTTATGAATACGGTCGTAAAAAGTAGCAAAGCTTCTTATAAAATAGATTCAATTGATTTGTTTTTAAGGCAACATTGATGTTTGGGTTTGTAGGTGAATAGTTCAAGTTTCCTTCGTACTTCAAGTTATTTTTTAAAGTTTTATTGAGTTGTTTTTAGTTTACTAGCAGTTTTCGATTTTGCTTGAATTTATTTTTCATTAAAAATAATTATTTTATAAAGAATGATGTTTTATTCATTTTTAAATTATTCCCAAATAAAAAATGAAATCTCAATCAACCTGAAAACTAAAATAAAAAACTTAGCGATCATAATTTTACAAAGCTGTAAATATCCAACCCTTTCTCACTCTACCATCTTCTACTATTTTTTTTTCCCCATTGAATTCTCGATCATAACGACGAGACCAAATGGAGGTAAGAAAGACGTAAAACAATGGATAAATCGATAACCGATGGTCCCCAAAGGGACAGAACCCTAACCCGGCCATGATGTCTATTTTGTTTTGCCCCCACTTGCTGTCGCAACTGGCAAGGCGTCACGATGGACGAGTAACTGGACTGGACACACCCGGGGATCTGAACATCCGACTGTTTAGCTCCCACTTGTCGCGGGTACGGCTACAGGCTTCGAGTCCTCGGCTTTTTCATGCTCCTTGTTCAGCAACTGAAAATGTAACATTTGGAGGTAAGATTCACATACAATGCGTAATGCTGTCAGTTAGCCGGTGTCTCAGAGCGTATCCATCGGGAAAATGGCTCTGGCAGAGTCCACCAGAAACGGGTTTTTAACAAAAACCCCGTGTCTATAGATTTGCTATTTTGGGTTTTTTACCTTGTTGTTGATCAAATTGTGGAGCGCGATCACACTCCGGATGAGCGAAGAAAGGTAGATAACCAACATCATGTCATTTGTTTTCACTGCGAATAATGAAATGTAATAAAGAAAACTTGTTACGAAAAATGCCATGAGAACTGAAAAATAAAACGAAGGTGGACGCTCACCTGCGAAAGCCTTAACCAACTCGTTCACGTTAAGGTTAGGAAGCAAGTTGAAAATGTCCTACAAATATCGGAAGAATATGGTCATAAGATGAACATCCTCGACAGCAGCCAATGAGACAAGGAAATCACAAAGCAGGGGAAAGAATAACGGATACGTTATATATATATATATGTAATATGTATATGTATATGCCTCACATAGTTATTAGCAACGTTCACGAGATACATTAGAACCTTGGTTCGGGAATGAAAAGGTACTAGAACACATCCACTACCACTAGTAATATGAACTCAAACCTGCAGATGGTATAAAATCTCGTGGTTTAGTGGGAGTTTTCCTTCGATAACAAGGTCAAGGTAACTCCTGATCTCCCGAAGACGTGCATCCAGCCCCTTCAGAGCAGTAAGTTTTGCAGTGACCTGGTGTAGAACACAAACACAGATAATTTTAGTTTCCTCAAGCAGAAAGCAAGGATTTAGTGATTTACACTATCTAATCCTTCTCTAACACCAAAACAACTTCCCCCCCACAGAACCACATACCGCTATTCGGTTTAGCATAAGGCATGGTACATAATTGAAGTATGAAGGATGGTGAAGACGAGAAGTCGAGAACCTCAGTTGCAAGGGTGCTGATTGTTGTGTCTTTTACATCCCGGAGCAAATGCTCGACACCTGTTAAAACAATAAGCAAACCACATATTCAGGCAAGCGGAAGCGAGTTGATCTTCCGTTCCTTCATAAACGGATACAATGAAAGCCAACCGCTGTAACACTTGTGTTTCCCCTAGTAGACATACCGATTTCCTCAACTTCGTGAGCAGCAATCTCTGTAGGCACATGGATGAAAACTTTCTGGCTTTTCTGGGTAGCATTCTGCATGTACATAGAAGTGTTTATCAAGTTCACAAAAGATATGGATACAAACGACACCTATCTCTAATGAGTCAGATGCCAAGGAATTCACTTCACGTATAATAGATCCTTTTTTACTACACGCACGAATGAACTGCCATTTGATAGGTTAATAAGAGCTCTTGTTATTACCTCCTTCACCTCTTCAACAGCATAGTATGCTTTCGTGGGTATCCCGAGTTCTTTAGGTTGGACATCAATTATGACCAACACTGGATTTGGAACATAGCTGCAGCACCAGAAATAAAAGCTTAAACAGGGAACTAAATGCAAGCCACAAGGCCAAATGAAAGAGGGGAGAGAGAATCTGCTCCCTGCAAATAAAATAGTAAGACAACAACTCGAACAGACAACCAGACCGTCAACAGAATAAACAAGGATCAGACTGACTAATGATTCAGCAGTGTCATAATGCACTTAGCTGGTGTCTTACTTGTTAAACAATGCATGGACATCCAAATCATTCTCTCGAAGTTTAGGACCTGTGCTGTACCAACCCACAACATGTTCCTTGGCTGAAAGCAAAGAAATAGTTTGGTGATACCAGATTCTCCGCATAGCAAATGTGATCATCATCTAGGTAGCATTTTCCTAAACAATACCATTGATTCTCTTGAACATATGGAACATCGACTCATGGTAGTTGTGATCGAGGAACCAAATGCTTGGGTCTTTGTCATCCTCCTCAAAGGGAACTGGAAATCAAAACAGGACATGTGTAAGAAACTGGTGACTTGAAGGATATGTCCCACAACAAAATACCCAGATAAATGAACACCTTCAAGCTAAAATGAACCCTAAAATCGACTAAGACATCCTCTTTTACTGTACTTTGACTGAATCTGATACCCTAAAGAGGAAGTGAAATGGCTGAAGATAAAATCAGATAGTAGGAGAATATCAAACTTCAAGCACACAATTCGGCACCCAATATAAAAAAGCCCTTGGAAAGCACGAAACAGAAGGCAATGCCAAACAAAAAGGACTTACAATACCGAATTTCATGCCAACAAACCTCGAACAGATTCAGAGATCTGACATAACAAGAAGCGACGAGATCGAAGAAAACGACAGGGCAAAAGGGAGAACTAGGGCACACCTGCGTAGCTATTTGTAACGTCGACGGTGCCGCGGAAGCTGGTACCGAGCAAGACGCCGACCACGCGCTTGCGCGAGTCCTTTGCGACGCGGTTGTAGTGGTCGACGATGCTGAGCAAGACGAGTGGGTGAACGATCACCTTCTCGATCGTCCTCCCCGATATCTGCTGCGTCTTTATCACATCCATCGCCGGAAAATAAAATTCTCCGACACAATTGGGATCTTTGCCGGAGAGAATCAACGTGAGTTCCTCCGATCTCGTGTTTTCTACGGAACACTCGTAAGTTTTCTTCTTCTCCAGGAAAAGCCCTTCAAAAAAATTCTTTTTTCTTGTGTGTTTTTTATTTAAATTTATTTAGATTTCCTTTTCGTCTCCAAAATAAATTATTTTGGGCCATTTGTGTTTACATTTGGTCTGATTTTTAAAATGATGAGCCTACTTACATGGCCCATATATTTTGGGCCCATTTAACTATTCCCCCCCCCCCCGCCAAATATTTTTTTTTTAAATATAGGCACTGTATTTTATAAAAGTGAAATATCGCCCCTGCCACCAATTCTCTAAAGTTCTAAATCACATGAGGATGGAGGAGAGCCAAAATTAGAAATCTTGTAACAGCAAATAACAACTCAACAGACCAATGTCAAAGCCAAAATATAAACGAGTTCCCATTGAACAGTAATACTTAGCCCATATATTAGCATCTACAACATTCAATTTTAAGGTTTTCTTGGCATATATATATATAATTCAAATCCAAGATCTATAATATTATTGCGTGGTTTGGAATTCGATCTCCAAAATAAGATAAAGATGCATTTAATGGTTAACGTTCGATCAAAAGAAAACAAAGATAATTATTTAAAAATCACGGATTCAGAATATGAAAATCAAAAGAATGCAATTGGAATAATTATAACTTTGTGTAAGCAAGTGACACGGCCCTCATGTCTTCCTGTCTCCACTTAGTCATTCACACTTTTAAGCGTTCCGGTAAACAAAAGGTAGAAAGCGCGTTCATTTAGAAAAAGGGAAATAAAAATAACTATTTAAATTTTTTATTTTTTTCAATTTTTGTTCATGGTTTTGTGGTATAATAAGGTATTATTTTCATATACAAACAGAAGTTTGTGTGTGTATAATTAAATAGAAAATATTTAAACTGAATTCAAATGTTTTTTTTTCAAGAAGAGTAGTAGTACATATATAGGCAAAACATGAGCTTATCTCGAAATGAAACCGCTAGTACTACCATAACTACGTACCATAACCATCACTGATGATGCTACATATTGCCCCCATGTCCTAAATACATGTGATTCGATCTCCTACTATGCTGATCTATTTGGTCGGCACGTTAAAATTCAAAACCCGATCATGCCCGAGTTCCCGTATGTCATCAATCCTTTCAGAGGAAACTTAACCGGAGATCCAATGGTGGTTGCTCCATCTCGGCTCCACACGAATACGGCGAAAACACCGTCGACGTGTTCGTGCTGGTCTCTCGGAAATATGACGTGTGATGATGATTCTTCGGAACTCTTCTCGTTTTCTCCGATTTCGATTCTTCCAACGAATTCAACGGGAAGAGTTGCAGTGTCTCTATTGCCTTCTCTTGATGATCATAAGATGCAACTTGGTTTATCTCAAAAGCATCTGTAAAATCTTCAAACAGTTTGTTATGTTAGACGATGATTAATTATTTCACAAGTAACACACACACACACACACATAAATATATATATATATATAAAGGTCAAAATGTAACCATACATGTAAAAGGCAAGAAACCTAGAAACAGTTATGTTAGGAAGTTTTTTTGCATTGGATTATAACATTAATATATTTCCAGTTTAGTTTTGTTCTTTCCGGTTTGATTTGGTTAGGCTATGTCGGTTTTGATTCAGAAATAACAAAACTAAACCCAACTGACATAACCGGTCATATATCTTAGTACGGAAATCGCGTAATTAAATAAGCCCGAGATTGAAAATAACCTTTAGGGGGTTGGTGGGTATTGTTGTCTTGAAGACTACTGAGATCTTTATCCTGATGAACATGATGATGATCGAAATCAAGAGAGATCTTTCGACGTTTTTGTCTCTCTCTTGCCTTGTGATTCTGAAACCAGTAGAAAACGTTCTTACTCTCGATCTTTCCGTAGAAACTCAGCTGCGTTGAGATCTTCTGGATTTGATCGGTGCTCGGAGTTCGTAGCCCCGCGCGGAACAAATCCGTCAACACCTTCACTTGCTCCGCCGTTGGATTCCACCGTCCACACTTAGTCCCCGTTCCTCCTCCGCTGTTACCGCCGTTAACGTTCTGGTTACGTAAACTCCGAGCTTTGACGCAAAACCCTCCCGAGGACATGATGGTTGGTGTGTGTATATATATACGTGTATGTAATGCTCTCTGTTTTCAGATAAGTGGATTGTAATGTTTTAGGGTTTGATTCTTTGTTTTCGGACAATGGGGGGGGGTGTGAGAATGTATCTTTTGTAAAGAGGGTTTTGGTTCCGAGGGGATATGTGTATATCGACTAGGGTTTGGTTATTTATAGATGGTAATTGTATTGTGCTCGTATTTTTAAAAGAGGATATATATATATATATATATATATATATGTGTGTGTGTATGTATATATAGAATTTAATAATTTCTAAAGTGTTTTGAGTTGTGTGTCGTTATATGAGTGTAGTGTTTGATAATGGAGGAGGAAGTAAAACAGAATCAGTGCATTGTTTATTACGAAATGCATGCTTTGGTTTTTGGGATTTGGGAGACAGATTTCGGCCGATTTGATCGTTTTCTTTATCATAATTCGTTTGGGTTCTGTGCATGCTACACACACACATATATATATGTATATATATATATATATATTATAAATTTAATATCTATATATATATATATATATGTGTGTATTAATTTTCACTTTTGATTTGTTTTATGCAATTACTATGACCTCTTTCTTCCATATATCTGTTAATAAAAAAATTAAATGAAAATTTTTCTAAGAAAGTGTCTCACGATGTTGATGATCGATGATCTTTCAACATATATAAGCATGTTTGAGCAGTGACACTTAAACGACTTTGGACGGCAAGTGTCGACAAGGGAATAGACAAATTATTTATACGCTTTTTACATGAAAATACACGTATATGTGTACGTATACGAATACACATGCATGAGTATTACGATAATTATGTGTGCAATAGGGGTTATGATTTTGATGAGAAAACACATGCACGGGAAGCTATAAGCGAAGACCAAGAAGCGGTCCAAAGAATAAAAGGACAAGGTGAATAAACCGAACATTGTTTTTATAAACAAGAGGTTAAGTGCTAAACAACATACTAATCACTACAAAAATCTCTGTCTCTTTCTATTGCATGCAGAAACCCTAATTTAAGACTCCGACGAAGATCTATTCAGTTTTCAAAGTCAAACTTTAACGTTGGCTCGTGTTCCTTGGACCCAATGCCATGATTCTGATGCTCTCTCGTTACAAAATTCATCGTCCTTGTCAGATATTTTACACATATATATCATTATTTTATCATGTTTAAATTCACAGCAACGTACCAATTTAGTCATATTATATGTTAAGTTTGACTATATGTATATATGTCATATATAAACAAAATATTTTGAAAGGGACACCAATATTAACAAAAATGAATGACGGGTTGATTTTTTTTATATAAAATTTTTATTTTGTTAAAGAAAATTACAACTTTTTTCAAGGGTTTAAATTTTAAAATACACATAAAAAATTGGGGAAAATATTGTAGAAATCAAAAGTGAAAAGCGAAAAACAGAACCTTCTTTCAAGGAAGTGGGAACACAAAGTAGAAGACAAGAAAGCCACCAAAATGAAAGATTAGAGACAACTCATGAACACACAACACCAACTTTATGTAACTTATTATGTCACGTGCCTCGTGGATCTTATTTACCCGTGCATATTTCCGTTAGTTATTTCTTATTATTTCTTTCGGGGTTTTCAAAAATTATATTTGTTCTTCATATAGTTTTTATTTATTTATTCCGTATTCTATTAAAAAAATATTTGTATTTTCGTCTTTTTTCTACTTTTATATTTACTCCGAATTTTGTTCATATTCAATTAATTTGTTTCTTAAAAATTAATATCAAAACATATTTTAAATCATATTCAATTCAAATAAAAACCAATAATATTTGATTTGATTCAATCTATTTTCTATACTAAAAACAGAAACCCTAAACATTATTCAACGAAGTAATCGCAACCCTGTGTATAGTAATATATATATATATATATATATATATATATATATACACTTGATTTTTTTTAAAAAAATTTTAAACTGTTTTCCTATAATAAGATATTGTGGTTTCTTTTTCACAATCCTTCCTCCGCGTTCAAAGTTTCGGTAACATCAAAAAGTAAATCTTGGTCTTCAATTATATTATTATATGGTTATTATTATTATTATTATATTATTATTATTATTAAAACAATGATCGAGAGATTAATCAACCGGAATGTGTGATAGTGCAATCAACACCTATGGAAGATGTGTAGCCTTAATGGACAACACCGATGTATATTTAAAACCCTTTTCTTATTTGGGAAAATGTTACTATATAATAATAATAATTATACTATAACAACAAAATAATTTAGGCATTGGAGAGATTAAATAGAACTTGAACATACGGATTTAATCAGATAGAAATAAAATATAATTATTCTAGTCAAACCAAATTTGAATCGAATCACTGAATCGGATTAAATCGTTTATAATATAAAAAACGAATAGATATATTTTATAAAACAGAAGATACGAATGTGAAAAAAAGACGAAATCCAAATGGTAAGTCATTATAGACGATCTCATTGTTATTTGGCAAAGAGAGATATAATTTTGTACAAAATTATATCTTACTAATATTTATTTTTATACGGTGGGAACCTGTCGTCACAACTCTTCGGACCGGCCCCGCGAGCCAGATGACATCTCGGATAGTAAACCCCACTTTCGTGCTAATAGACGACAAACTATACAGAAGAGATAAAATAATCGAAACTGATAGACTCAAAAAAGCTTAGATTTAAGGAGGAATACATGGATCCCACAATCTCTTATAGAGGAGTTGCTTGGCATTTTTCAACTGATTTGGAAAATTTTCCTATCCTACTAATATTATTATAATATACTTAGTGAGATGTATAATTAATTAAATGTAATTCATCATAGTGTGTTCTTATCCTAAGTCAAGAAAGTGGATGGTGGTCTCGCATTGTAATGCCCACTAACATGCAATTCCCGATGATGTTCCGTGCAGCAATTTTTATGGATTATACATTGGAAATTAATTTGAATTTATTTTATTTGATAACATTATTAAAAACCATAGTAATACGTAAAACAAAATAAATTAGTACCAAATTAAGTTGGCTCTAAATTCAAGGAATCAAGGGTCGATTCATCTTAACTCATCTTATTAATACTATCTCTTTTCATCTCATCAAAAGATTCAAAACACCAAAACATTTAAAAGAAAATTTCAGATATTCACCCTTTTAATAAGAACAGTTTAAAATGACATCTTCTAAATGGTAAGGTTTAAAAATATCGATTTATAATTGAACGTCAACATTTCGTGGTTTATTAAAAAAAATATCATATTCTTACTTTTGCATACTAATTTAGTTACAAACTATGAATTTTAGCTAGATAATTTATTTCAATTTGGAAAGATTACGTAAGAATTTCATATTTTAATAGTTCAAAACGATTTAAACGAACTAGCGTTTAAATAGATGCTCTGGATTTTATTATGGAAAAATAAATTTTGCTGACTTATGAATAACTGTTGTCCAAATATATGGATGCTACTTTTTTTTTTTTTATAAGAAATATGGATGCTACTTTGTAAGTAAGCCATGAACAAAAGTTATATTCCGCCTATTTATATATTACTAATATTACCATTTATATAAATTAATTAGAAACAACGAATATATATTACATTTATTTGGATCAAATGTTTATATATATTATATTAAAAACTAGAAATTCAGAGATGAGAGGGAAAAAAAAAGATCAAAGAATATGTAAAAGAGTACAATTACAAGGAGTCATAGTTCTCGCAAGAATTTAAGGTTTAGATAAATGTAAAAGGTACCAACATGTTTTGGTTTGGTTTCCTTTGTCCTTTTTGTCTTTTTCTGTCTGTCCATTATTGTACGTCTCTCTATACGTAGTCTCCCTTGTGTATTTCTGCTCTATTTTTTTAACACACGCACACGTACGCTTATATGTATTTATACACATATATTCGATATTTTTGGAATTTTTTCAATTTACACAATCTTTTTATTATTTTATTTATGATTTTTACAAAAAAAAATTACAATAGACCAAAAACAAGTAGTGTAATTCGAAATATAACCTTAAATCATGCAATTAGATTTTACATGCAAATATAATACAAATTGATAATATACCAAACATAAGCCCAAAAAAAAAAAGACGACATGCCATATTCAAAAAAAAAACAGAAAGATGTGGTAACATAATACAAATCTGTTCCATATCTTTTTTTTTTTATAGAATCTCAAATTCGAGTATAAGAAATACTAAAAAAATATTTAACTTAGTTAAAATATCTTATGATAGAATGAAATTAGCCCGACCAAAAAATAAAAAATAAAAAAAGGAAACATTGATAAACGATAGAATATGTCTATAAAAAAAAATCAAACAAGAAAAGAAAACTCAGGAATCAAGGCATGAAATTAGGGCATGCGTGAAATCTATAGACTTAAAACCCTAACAAAAACAAGAAGACTCTCCTGATGATTCTCGGGTCCTTTTTGATCTTTCTGTCACCACGATTTGTCGGCGATCCATGCACGCACCACCACCAACTTCGTGTGTGTGTGTGTATATATATATATATATATATATCATTTATTAGGGTAAATAAGTTGAAATTCGAGAATTTTGAAATATTGGATCTCGAATAACTCAAGTTCTAGTTTTCGAATCCCCGACCCAAACCCAGACATATAGGGCGTTATATATATATAATGTAAGCATCTATCACTTTGGTAACATATCATTTTTGGAATTTTTATATTAATTTAGGTATTTTCGACGGATAAATGGTTACTATAAATACTCAAGTTTTAATACTCTGTAGATTAAAGTCCCATTTTTATAGGATTAAAACTCCCACGACTAATAAAAAACCCTTGAAGATTGTTATGTTTGTTCACGAAATTAAATCATGACAACAAAGACAAGAAATTCCAATCGTTTTTTCTGCCAAATTATTTCACTACATAATAATTTTAGATCTAGATAACTTTGTAACATATATTATATTAATTATACGATTAGATATTATAAAAGTAAATTCCAAAGAAATATGAATTATCTACCATAACTCAATATTTTTATCCACATATACATCAATATATATATACATATAACTCTATTAGTTACATATATATAGTTTTGCATAATCTATATTATATTAAGGGTTATTTTTTGGACTTTTTATTGAAAATGAGATTTATTTTGATTTGTGAATAATTAAAATAATTGAGATTTTTTTTTTTAATAAAAAAGCCAGGGAAACTGATCCAGAATAACTTGGATTTTCTATCGCACTATTATCCAGTAAGGGCCGAATGGGCTCATTATATGGATCATTGTTGTTACCGATCTATTTAAATAAATAAAATACCGCTCATAAATAAATTAGTTAGGGGGAAAATTCAATTAAAATATTCGCTCTAATTCTCGACTCTCTCTCATAGAGCACGTTTGTATCTCCATCGGAGGGAGATCGGAATCTGCCGTAGCGTCTTTCTCCGACTGAAATCTGTTGGATTCTCCGGAGAAAGCGAAGAAGAGAAGCGAAACGAGTAGCAGCCTCCCGTTTGGGGCCGCCGCAGAAGCTCGTGCGGCTACTGCAAATCCTGCGATGGCTCCGGTATCTCTAACGGGTTGTGTCGTCTCTTCGCTTCTGTATTGAACTTGTTTCCCGGTTTTTCGTTTGTCATCCATGGAATTGGGTATTGTTGATCGATCAAAAATCGGACAATTTCAAGGTTGGGGTCGTTTAAATTTCTATATTTGATTGTGCTATCGGGTATGTTTGGTTATCTTATGTTGATTTCCTGTTCGAGAGACGGGCTTGTTGAGAATAACCTGAAATGGTGAAGTGTTTTGATTGATCTCGTGTTTCAGTTGGTAATTTCTGATGAATGCTGTTTGATTTTCTTTTGTTATTCCATTGAATGTTCATGGAAGAGTGCAAAGTGAATATCTTCAACTACTTGGTTGGCAATGGCGGTTATAGTTGCTCGTTTCAGGACCCTGATGATGATAAATAACTCGATCTCTGTTTTGTCGCCGATACAGTTCTATGGGCAGAGAGTCTCTCCGTTGAAAATTCTCAAAGAGTTGGTCTTGGTCTCCTTGTTTGTGTGGAATGCATAGCACATGAATTAAGCACAAAGAAAATAAGAAACAACTCCCAAACAACTAAGCGCTAGCTGTGGGTATCCGAGCTCGCGGATCCTGTGGCTATATCCCGTGGTATCCGAAATTCTCAAACTTGAGAGATGCGTGGTCTCAGAGAATCTGAGCTGTGAATTTGAGTTCGGGTTTTGGTTACCTGTACCTGCAGATCATCAGAGCTAAGGGCGAGAGGAGTCCCGGTGAGAGGCGTGAGGCCGCGAGGGGACAAGACGCGAGAGTGGGGAACTTAGGGTTTCAACTTTGAGGCGGCGAGACAACGAGGAGGTATCCGAACTCTCATAGCACCCCGTAGATATCCAAAACTCGGGCATCCTACTTTTCACGAGATCAGGGTCAGGTACTTTGGCCGAGAAACCCGAGAGGATGAGATTGAGATCGAGTACACGAGCATCCTGAAATCTCGAATTTCGAGGTGGATATCAAGAATAACATGATCATCTATAAGAAACTCTCTTCTTTTTTAGATACAAGTTTGTGCTGAGTGATGATCTGTATACAACAAGTTCCAGAGAGCAGCTTCATATAACAAAAGCTGTCCAAAATGAGGATATGAATGATACAACACATGACCAAGAATGTACAAAAATCAGATCCAGATGAAGCAAATGCTCAAGCGTCGTCTGCATCACTTGCACCCGCTTGAGCCACCCAGTAATTGTTCCCTTCGGGTCCCGACACCTTGAACCTGCCCGCCCCAAACGTTTTCCATTCAAAAACATCCTCCGAATCCGAAAACTATGATCAAAAGTATATGTTTCATTGTACTGACCGTTCAAGAACTGATTTCCCTTCCTTGTACTTCTGGTTCTTCTCGTAAGCAACCTCCTGAAACCCAAAAGCAACAATAATGGAGGAAGGATGTGACTGGCAGTAGCCGAAATTTTAACTTAACAGAGTTTCGGGATTCTGGCAAGAAGTGTTACGTATTTCCATCCGACGTAAGATCCGCATTTGATGCAGTAAATATCGGAAACTGTGTGCAATCCGGTCATCATCATCCTGTCTTCCGTCTCTCCTGCATAGACATTCACACTGCCCAAACCGAAGCAATACATTAAAAAAAGGGCCAAACAGTTAAACTAATTAGCAGCTTTCGGCATCTTCGAGCCAAACCCTTTTTCCCGTTCGTTGCGTAATCACAGATTCAAGAGAAGAAATGTTTAGGTTTTCTGACTACCAAAGGCAAAATCCTAGAGGGGCCGAAAACTTACACCTTATTGAAGAGATAAGCTTTCCCATGCTTGCACTGAAAAGACTGCAATCCAAAAGACCCTATTTACGTAAGTATGATACGAAAACAAACACAAAAAATATCCAACAGATTTCTCGCGATCTGCTAAAAAGGAAATGCAGCGACTTTAACCAGATAGTATGAGTATATCTCGACTCAGATGTTATGGGAAAACCCCCCTTGAACGATAGAAGTTTGAAGGGTCGGGAACCATATAACATTACCGAGAAGACATCAAACTTTGATTGGAACACAAATTCGCCTCGGTACAGCGAAAATCATAGACGTTTTCAGAAACTAAGTTCAAAGGCTCAAATTTGTGAAGTAAACAGGTCGAGTTTACGAGTCAAAACGTTGCCAAAGTTCTACAAAGTTTTAAAATTCTTGTAATATGCAGAAACTTAGCAACTAGATCGAGTAAACCAGCCCTCAAGACGGGATACAACGAACATTTAACCGCGACGGAATCAAATACCTCAAACTTAAACACCCATTAGGGAAACAATGTGAGAATGCCAGAAAGATTCCAAATGCAAAAGTCCATGTTTCTCATCTCTTTGGCTGATCATAAACGTATTCTTACGATCAAGCCTTCTGTGAAGGTAGTAGCAAAGGTTCATGGATATTTCAGAAATCATCAAAAAGACTTCGTCCATATAATGCAAAAGCAAAACATGATTCTACATCATATCGAGTTTCAAACCTTGAACACGATAACTGGCCAATCGATCAGACCAAAGGACATCACGAGGCACAGATAAAAACAAATACCCAGATGATTTCATCACGGAATAAACAATACCCAGATTGAGATTTCGCAGCAGAATCACTATATTGCAAAACCCAGAAACAAAAAGTTGCAAAAAGAGGGAAAAGATTAAACCTTTGAGATGACATCTTCACAGAGAGCGAGATGGGTCTTGCAGTGCTTGCAACTGTATATCTTCCCTTCCAAGTTCAGCAGAAACAACCTCCCCATCTCTTGCAAGCCACGATCTTCAAAGAATCGAAAGAAAAATATCAAAATCAAACTCAAAGTAGGATGAATCGGATCCAAATTTGTCAACTTATTCGCCCGAATAGTCTTGATTAATTATGGAAGAAGAGGCGAGGATGTATCTGAAATTGGAAAGGAAACGGATGGAAACGGAGAAAATCGAAACTGTACTTTCGATGACTAAAACCCGACCTTTGCGTTTCTTTGGTTGAGTGTTAGCTTCGCAAGAAACGTGGACCGGAGAAATTCATCCCTTCTCTCTCTCTTTTTTTTTTTCCCAATGTCATTTTGAGATTTTCTTTGGATATGTTTTTATATTGTCTTTTCCTTCCACTGTAAGATTATATAAATGGATTGTCAAATTTATTTTTTGAAAAGATTCCCATAAAAAACCTCATTACGCGGAATCTTTCTAGAAAACCTTTTGAATCAGAAAAAAATATCTCCAAACGTGAGCAAAACGTTAAACAGGGGAGAAAACATTTACCTTCAGATATTAAAAAAACTATATTTATAGTTTTAAAATTTAATTAGTTGAATATTACATGCTTGTAAATAATCAACATCCGACCTAATTACAAAATATCATTTATATTTTTAAATCTAAAATTACAAAGTTATCTTCAAATAACCAAAAAAAAAAAAATCGAATACCCGAAATCAAGATTATTTTCAATTCTTAATATTCATTCAAATATAAATTCAGATGCGTTAAAAATTTTCGAATATCAGAGATGAAACTTACAAGATGAAAACGAAAAGAGGAATTGGACACCAAAACACTAATTCCATTAGAAAGTACATACGCATACAATACGTAGCTGCTACACTGAAAATAAAATGATGTACGGACAGATGCACCGAGCTTTAGCTTTTCAGGCCCTACGGATCTTTCGGACAGAACCCTCTTTGTCATTTTTCAAAACCATCACACACAACTGCTGCGAGAGATTATCAGAATCTCTTCATTCTTTGAGGGAATGGAAAATTTAGGGTTTGAGAGCATACCGGCCTGGCGTTCTACATCGAACTAGTCTCTCGAGATTTCAATGCAGATTCAACGAGCTTGACCTTTTCCGAGTTCTCGCTGTTCATCACCGATAGTTTAGCCATTGAGGATTGAATCTGCGAGATTTCAGTATCTTGGATGTAATCTTTCCTCGAATATTGTTGCCTTTTATGGGTTCCAACTGTTTTACTCTTGGGAGATTGCTGTGAATGCTTTCTCATCCTAGCTCTCAATGTCTCGATGGATGAACGAAGTGCATCCAGCTCAACACCCGAGAACTCATCTGTAGAATTCGTTATTGCAGAAAAATTAAAAAAAAAACGATGAGATCGGTTTAACCATTCACTTGAAAGTGTATTCTAGTTTGTGAGAACCAGGATTGTTAAATTAACATGATGAAGTGAGGAAGTTTATTACCGAGTTCAGACTTGAATTCCCGTTCTGCCCTCATCAGCGGTCTCTTGTGTGCACCCGGTAAGCTACGGAGTCTCTGCAAACGTTGCTCGAGAGAATCATGAGTTTGAATTGCATTCTCTACCTGTTTCTCCAACATGGACTGTTTCTTCTTGACTTTCGATATTTTCTGTCTCGCCTCAGCCAGTCGATGGTTTTGGTCATCGATGATTCTCTTTAGGTTAGGAGCATGATGGTTGAGCTCAAAATAGACCTACAAAAAAAAAAGGGGGGGGGGGCAAG